CCTTCACTGGTTGGATCATGTCCAGATCTTGCCTTCAAGGTCAACCTTATTTTTTTAAATGGAACCCCCTATATTTTATTGCATATTCTTATAGCTTATCTCAAGAGCTTACCAAAACGCTAGAATAAAATATTTTTTCATTAAGTACTTTTAAAGTTATAAAGGTTTGAAGTTAACAATTTGTTAAATGGCATGTGGGTCTGGCCAGTTAAGGCAAGAGTGGCGGGTGTATATCAGTTGGACACGGGGCAATTGGACACAGTCCAATCACAAGTCGCTGTTCCAAGGGACCCTACAAATGTCTCTAATCACACGGTGTTGTGATTGGCTGTGTCCAAATGTACCGTGTCCAAGTGAACCGCTCCCAAGAGTGGCGTGTGGATCCGGCCAGTTAAAGTAAGAGTGGCGTTTGGTTAATGTGTTTTCTTTAAACCAATTAATTGGTCTCATTATTCCGCGCACAAAAGTATTAAGGTTATGATTACTGAAAACTAAATAATATTTTACAAGATATTTTACATTTTGTGTCAAAAAATTGTTAACTTCAAACCTTTATAATTCAAAAAGTACTTAGTGATAAAATGTTTTATTCTAGCGTTTTGGAAAACTCTCGAGATAAGCTATAAGAATATGCAATAAAATGTAGGGGGTTCCATTTAAAAAAATAAGGTTGACTTTGAAATGACTTTGATGGAGGGAGGGAGAGAGCGAAAGAGATATGGAGGGAGGGGGAAGGAGGGGGAGAGAGAGAGAAAGAGAGAGAAAAATCCGTATTGTCAAAGAAAGCGTTCCATAAGAATAAGAAAATGAATGATAATATCCCAACAATATAATATTAGTTAGTACTACAATAGTGTTATTTGCGAAAGGGACATAGGTTAGTACAATTGTGCTGTAAATTCGACAATGAAGTATTTTGATAATAAAATATATATTAGAACCTTGAATAAGTTCTCGCTGATTTTTCGTGAAAATTAATACTTTATTTTAAAAAAGTCGTAAAAAACATGTCACTGAAAGTATTGTCCATCGCTAGCCATTACTTTTTCCCATCTTTCTGGCAGCATTTGAATTCCACATCGGAAAAACGACACGTCTTTT